TCTACAAAAAATTTTCTTTCCGCAGATGTTTTTTACCGTTTTGATAATTTTTCTTAAATTCGGGAATATGATTCGGAATATGGTACCATTCTTTACACTTTCCAAACTATATATTATACATACATATTTACCACGAATAAGAAGCCAATAATATTCAGAATTCATATAATGAAATTCCGCTTGGTACCTTCCTGTATCTGTCTGTATATCAATGTCCGCAACTGTATTTATAAAATCATACATAAACAAACGTCAAATATTTAAAAATGTGAACGTCAAACATATGTCGTTGTGGTAATGGAGACGGTTGTGGTTCGTTAAAATTGACATCGATATATCGCCAATTTTACGATGTTGAGTAATTTTCAAATATCGATGGTAAACATCGGTTTTTTAGCCGATATTATCGATGTTTCAGAAACATCGATGCATCGTTTGCATTCCTAGCTTGGAGGTGGTTAAGAATTTTCAAATTAAATCAATGTAAGTCAATATAGTTATTTCTTTTTAAATATAAATAATAAATTTGAAAATCGAATTTCATTGCAGAAAAAAAATACAAAAATTACAATAAAAGCCCTAAATAAAAGAAATAAATAAATACAAATAAAAAAAATAAAATTAAAAAAAATTTCCTTGCGCCAGAACTTGCATCTCGGACCTCGGGAATACCACGCCAGTGCTTTGCTCTGTCGACCATTGCGACTGTTGGAGCGCCGCTAGCGAAATGGAATATGTATGCTTTTCACGGGAGATGAATTAGCAGACTATCTCATCAACTGCTATTATGCTACTAGCATTCCCTGCAAGAAATGTATCTAACTATAAGCTAACTTCAAGTTGATTAAGAAGGGGCTAAAAGTCACTTATTATCTGTATATTTTCTTTAACGAAAGCTAACTATATTTGTATGGCGATGGCCGCGAAATAGTCAAGGGTGGTTTACCTCTGCATTAGATGTAGTTAAGGGTGGTTACCTCTGCATTTGATGTAACTAACTTGTAACTAACTACTTTTGGACATAAAATATCAATAGGAAAAATATAATATTTTTTTTTATTTTAATTTTTTTTTTATACTTTGTTTTATTACATTTCATATTTGTTTCCATATTCTGCTGTAGGTGATCCCATATTAGAACTACGTCAGACATAACTTCAAAATGATAATATGAAATTTCGATCTTCCTTTTATTTGTCCTCAATTCGAAAAAGTATTTTCGAAGTGCAAGATATTTAAATAGAAACGCGTTTAAAGAAAACAATCTCGAGCTTTACTCCGGCATAACTTGTCCACTTGTTTCAAGTTAGCTTTTTGCAGCTAACTACAGGTTATATATTTTATAGAAATCCCAAGTATGTTATTTTTTATCAATTGATAATTTTGTTCTGCAGGGTTTCTGCTAGCAGATGCTGATGCATAGCCTGACAATTGAGATCTCGTAGGACATCGCCATGGTAAAAATACCAGTCGCTAGCATTGGAAAAGGATAGAACGTGAACTAGTTGGGCTAAAACGCGAACTGGTAGCATTCTAGTTCACAACTAGCTACTTTCCCTGCACGGTAGTTTACTTTTTTCTACGAAGAACTGGTATAATTACACTATACGGCAAAATCAACTTTTTTTTGGGTATTGGACCAAACCAATTGTTTTCAAGAGATTCAGTCATAAGTAAAAAAAGAAATTTCTCCGTTTTTCGAAATTTTGAAATAGGAGCTTTGGTAAAAAAAAATAACTTAATTATTGTATGTAAACAACTAAAGAAGTAAAAATATGGTCGTGGTCTACCTTTTGCTCTTATTTAAACGGTATATAGAAAACTTTCTTTGTGCAAGCTTATATTACCGGTCCTTATAGCACTTAAAATTCAGTTCAACAGTTTTTGAAATACAAGTTTTTTAATTTTTCGAAGATCTGACCTTTGACCCCCCATAGCACCTGTAAACAAAGCAAAGCCAAATATAGCAGTAGAGAAATTGTCTGCAAAAAAAATTATGAAAAGGTAGACTGGGTGTTGCAGCACGCGCAATAGCTGTAAGGATACAGCTATTAGAACCATCGCACACCACAGACTCTATCGGCCGCCGACTTATTTGGCGCTCGCTTGGAATACATATGTATTTACATGTATGGACGTGTGCACACTACACCCACTTAATAGCGCCGACTAAGTAGTTGTGGTGCAATGGAAAAACTAACGAGCCCAACTAAATATAGTAAAATTGCGGTTTTAGTTTTGCTCCCTGGTGTCAGGATTTTTTAAAAGGTCTTTGATATATTAAAAATATAATCAATTCAAAAAATTATTTAAAAAATTGAGTGCAATGTACTTAAATAGAAAACCAGTATGGGTGTCAAGTTAAAGAGAAAATTCTGTAGAGCTAAAACAGATTAAATTTTTTGATGCATAAGGATGGGTACGTATTGAAAATGTCCTTTTAAAATTTTATGCTTGATTATCCTTGAGATGTTCCAATGTTTATTTTTGAAAAAATTATATGTTATGGACTAATATAAACACGACAACAACCCCGAATAACGTCCTTTTAAATGTATTTGCTTAAAAAAAAATAAAATTGATTTAAAGGTCATTTTCAATAGTTACCTATTCGCCCTTGTGCACCAAAAAATTTAAACTTTTGTTAAATTTTGCACAAGTTTTTTTCATTTGGTACACATATTTGTATTCTACAGTGTACTGAATTTTTTAGATAATTTTAAAGACTAATGATGGCTTTGAAATTATAAAGTCCTTTTAAAAAAATTCTGACGTCAGAGTGAAAAACTAAAAACGCAGGTTTATTAGCCCATAAATTCTTGAGTATATTAATTGCTTAGTATGTTTTGAATTTTTTTGTTTTTGCCGCTCGGTGTAATTAACTGCATATAAATGCGCATTTCAAAAATTATAAAAAAAGAAAGTGCGCCTGGGCCACACTGGAGAAGTGAAACTTACGTTACAGATCTATTTTATCTCATGACCAATATATGTACATATGTACGTAGATACATACATCTGCTTTTGCTTAAGGTTACAATTTTCGTCTTTTCTATCAAGATCCATACCTACACCCCTGTTCGTTGTAACTACATTTCTGTTATTTAGTTTTCCTTTATCTTCATTTTTATCTTTATACTCTATCAATAACAAAATCGATAGTAGCACCCAACAAAATATCAATAACAAAACCGATAAAAAGATCGATAACAAAATCGACAACAAATTCTATAAAAATTTCGACAGCAAAATCGATAATAATACTAGTAGCAAAACCGATTAAAAAATCGACAAAAATATCGATAAAAAAATCTATACATAATCGATAACAAATCTGTAACCAAAATCGATTAGAATATCGATAAAATATCTATAAAAATATCGATAACAAAATCGATTAAATATCGATAACAAAATCGATAAATATCGATAAAAAATCGATAAATATAGATAACAAAAACGATAAACATATCCATAACAAAATCGATAAATATCGATAACAAAGTCGATAAATATCCATAACAAAAACGATAAAATATCCATAACAAAATCGATAAATGTCGATAACAAAATCGATGAATATCGATAACAAAATGGATCAAAATATCGATAACAAAATCGATAAAAAATAGTTAAAAATATCGATTACAAACCCGATAATAAAAACCGATAAAAATATTGATTGTTATATCGATAAGTTCCGAAAATATCGATAGCAAAATTGACAACAATATCGATAAAAATTTCGATAAATAAATCGACAAACAAATCGACAAATATCGATAACAAAACCAATAAAAATATCGATTATTTTATCGATAAGTCCTGAGAACCCCGAAAATCTCTAAAATCCCTTCCTTGCTTTCCTTTATCCTCACTTTCTAGCACTGTCATACAAAATACATATTCATTTTCACTGACAATGCTGCCAAGCTGTCATGAAAATATGTTGCCAAAAGCACCACAGCATGATTCATGTATTATTAAAATCAAATTTCTAAAAAATATGGTAAAGCAAGTAAATCCCTTAACCGCGTACTCGATACCTATTTGAGTACTTGCATGAAGGATTCGAGTACAAAAAGTATTCAGTACTCGGAAAAAGTATCGAGTATTTACTCGTAGTTACTCGTATCGGAACAACACTATGCCTTTCCCTATCCAATCTATTTCTTGGATGGCGATGATGTCAGCTTTTGTCTTTACGAGGACAGCAACCAGCCGGGTAGAGCCACCTTTCCCATTAAGGGTCCTTAAAACGGTAGTCCTTTAAACTTTTGCTGTGAGCAGTCATCAAAAGGGGAGTCTTATCAGAGGCTTTATTTTGCTTCTTCACTGGAGGGAGTTTTCACGTGGCGGGTCCCAAACCCAGCGCACAACCCAATACTGGGAGGGAGGTTGTTTATCAACCGAATACACGTTTATATAGCGAGCCGTTTGCTCCAATCCAGACGCCCGCTTGCAGCCGCACCTACTGCCGAACAAACGCTGCAAACTTCAGTTAGCCTTTAAGCCGAAAAAGTCGGAGTGGCTCAACCAAAGCTTCCTCTCTTTCTTCCGTGACACAAGGCTGAACTCGGATTGGTTACCGTATCTCGCACATGAGTTGCTCACGTTTTCCAGAGTGCGCTCCAATCCTTTTAGTAACTGTCGCCCACGCGATCTTGTGTACAATAGTTCTTTTGAAAACTCTGAACTCAACGCAAATACTAATACGAAATATAAGAGTGCGATCATGATAAGGGATGAAATGATTAACTGTTTTAAATTCCAATCGCATTTTAGACCCTACATCATCAGACTGAGTATGCATTTGTGTTCAAACTCATCAAAAAGCTATCATAAACCTGTCCTCGTATTGAGTAGTTTCCTCTAAATGGTGGTATTTTATTTAATGGTTGAAAATAGACTTACCTGTGTTTCAATAAGAAAAGGCGAGGAAGAAAATTTGTATACATGTATGTTTTTATATTTTTTATATTTTTTAGATATTCTAAAATTTTTACAAAGCAATATTTATGCGAGTATCTTTACAATACTATATGTAGTCAATTCAGCAAATAAAAAGCTATTTTAACTACATTATATGTAAACATAAATAGAATAAGGACATGCGTGGGAACGATTGCCCATATAAATACGTTCAACTAGGAACTACTACATATAAAGAAACATTACAACTACTGAACTAACTAGTTACATTACGTTACATAACCAAGAACTATTTGAGCCTAAGGCACTTCAATACTTCATCATAAAATCGTATACTTTCGTAGCACGATCAATATACAGTCATACATATTTTTTCAAACCCCTAATCGCTTATATACATACGTAAATCTACCCTTTGGAATTTTTTTTTTTTTTAACGCCCACATTCATACTACTACACCCACATCTCACTCAATGTCGCTTCAGTGCCTTGCGCTGACGTTGATAGAACTCCTCCATTGCGCGATACTCTGGCTCATAAACGTCCGGTATCTCCTTATTCAACGATTCGTAGTAGACCATCTGGACCGAGCAAGTGCCTCTTAACTGCTCTTCATAGCGGCGCAGCTGTTGGAAAAATCCTGTGTTCGGCCGTATCTGTGGACGAATGGCCTTGACGTGGTGGTAAGCGGTACGAAGCGTCATACCGCCATACTTCATCAAATATGCCAAGCATAGCGTAGCCGATCGGCTTACACCCGCCACGCAGTGTACCAGCGATTTGCCGCCCAGCTGACGCACCTCCTCAATCATATCGGCTACCTCGTCAAAGTGCACTGAAAGGTCAGAGTCGGGCCGATCGTAGACATTGATGCGCAAGTAGAGTGGCTTGGTGACGCTGGAGAGCGGAGTGTCGGGCAACTCTGGTGCTACGTTAATGATGAAACGCACCTGCAGTTGATCGAGCACCATGGGCATTGCAACGCCTGCACCGCACAGATAAAGACTGGGTAGCAATTGTGATATTCCTGGAAACGGGGTGTGTGAGTGGTGGCAAGTGTGCAACGAACTGGAAGAAGAGAGGGAAAATAGAAAAGTTAATTCAACGGATTGTCGTGGAAATGTTGTTGGCTACATACATATTAAAAAAAATTCTAAGACGAAAATTTAACGATTTAACGATTTCATTAATACATTCACTGTGTGTCTTTTCCCATATAATACATATATACTCTTTTCAGAAAAATTCCTCCTCGTATCATTTGAATGAAATAATTTTTAATGGCTTGTAAACAAAATATTTCAGTGTATATTTTTGTTTGGGTTCATAGTGTCAAATAATTTGTTGACAGCAATTCAAATCGGCTTGGTGCCAAAGAGTTACAAATACAAAAAATATTTAATATCGTCCACGAATTCATAGATCAACATATGTGAATACATGTTTACTTACTAAAAGTGGTGTATAATGGACATAAATGTGTTCCTAGCAAAAACAACCTTTCGAAACTTGGTGAAAACACAACCGTTTATTAATAGAACCTGACAGTAAACAAGTTCATCTCTTAAATACATATGTACACACATACATACGCACATATGTATATTTGTGTTTTGGGAAGAAGGGCTATAAGCCACTTGTTTAATATTCAGATTCCCCACGAGAAGAGGACTACCATTAAAGCGGCTTTTGAAAGTGATATATTCGATGCTTTTCACTATTAACAAGGCCCTTAAGTATTCGTCAGCAATTTATCTGATACGTACTAGAGATGCCGTTTTTAAATCGATCAAATCGAACATCGAATAATCGAGCCTTTCCGATTCCATTTTTGTAGATTTTTTGCCGATTAGTAAATCGATTCAAAACATTCGAGAATCGACAATCGATTTTTCCTCAATTGGTACATATTGATCTACGGTTTACCTCAGAAAATCTATAAAATTTTAAATTAATTTGAATTAGAGGCCTCTCTTTCTCATCCGACTAAAGAGTTCCTCGAGGAAGCCTCTGTTGCTCGTTGTTTTTGTTGTTTTAGCGGCTATAACAACCACGCCCAGATCGGCTAGTCTCTCAATCGATGTCGTCAAGCTCAACTAACCGAATACCCAAGAAACGTGCAGCTTCTATAGGGTTCGTCCATAGGGGTGTGGCTACGTGGGCGCTGTCTTTCTAACTTGTGCTCATTAGTTTTCCCCATAGGACTTATATTATAATAATAACCACATACATATGTTTGTATGTATGTAGAACTTGTGTTCATTTCGAAAAACGAAAAAAAATATTTTCCTATGCGAATAATTATTCAGGCTATCAAAAAATAAAAAAAAATACAAATAATTCAATTCGAAAAATCATGTGGTCAAAGAGTGACGTTTAATGCGTGGGAAATGTTTACCACATAAGTATATGACGTAGAAATGGAAGTAAAATACATATATATGTACATACAAAGCAACTAAACCAACGATAAATAAAACAGTTTACACAGCCAATACTAGTCTATATTTAAAGCTTCATTAAGACTATTTTCGAAGGTATGCAAAATATGTATGCATGCCGAAAGAAGCTTGTGTAAACAAATAAATAGTGGTTAGGAAAAATTATAAACAAAAATTTAAAATATCTTTTCGTAAACCCAAAACTGCCAAATTCTGGAGCTTATTGTTAATTTTCATTGTTTTCCTGCCTTTAGGATCTCTGCCGAAATATTTCGGGAAAAATATTAAGATTTACGTGAGCTGGACCTATTTGCAAATACCTCAGAAAAATTTAATTTATAATTAAATTTAGTTTTTAAAAATATTTTGTCTAATCGAGATTTCGTTTCCAAAATGTGTTGCCTTTTGATTGCCCCTTTCTCTTTTCGCGTTCGATTCTATGTAAATTGAGGGCAAAGGGTGAGAAATTTCTGTGTTCGTTTCTTAAAATTCCACACTATTGTGAGGCAAAAAAGGCACATTCTCTGCCCTGTGAATCTTTGTCAGGGGAGATGGTTGCCCTGAAAATCAGGTGGTTGTTTAAAACGACAGTATGTATTATAAAATGCGTGAGCGGAACGAGGACAAGAAGGCAAAAACATGCCTCTTTATTGGGTTGAATGTAACATTTTGCACTGGGGAAAGGCAACATTTTTTGGAGATGATAGAGAAGTTTAAGAGAAGAAGGTCTGTATAATAATGGTAAAAAGTTTTGTCACCGGAATGAAAATAATTACATTTTTGAAGGTATTTTCAAATTGGTGGCAAACCGCAATTCTGTTGTGATGCACCCTAATATACATACACATATGCGTATATAAATTGAGTTGTTTACACCTTCGATTGCTTCTTTTTTTAGCAGAAAGAGAAATGTAACATTGGCTATTTATGCCTCTTTTGAAGAGGGAGGATTTTTGAATGAAAAGTGAATTATTCACAATTTTTCTCTGGTATTCCATCATTCCTTTTTATATTTTTGAGTTTACTTCGCTAGCTGACGTCACTGAGTTTATTTTGTTTATTTCTGTGTATAGAGAGACAATATGCTTTTCAGGTACTTATTTAGTTATGTATATTTGTACGCAGTTCCTTACACAAAAACATACATTTTGAATAGATTTATGGCTCTGTTGTCGGATTTAATTTTTTATTTATTTTTCACAAAGTTATCTGATTTTACCCAAACAGAACTAAAAATTAGGGGCACTTCATTCATTTATGTTTTCGGGTGAGCGTAAATATATTTTTATTGGCGAGGATTTAATGGAGCACTCGTTACTTAGATATACATACATATGTATATGTATGTAGTTCAGGAAGTATAGGCCCGTATAACCAGTTTTAACTGTAGTGGCTGAAGGTGAAAACATTCCTTGCTTTAGAAAACAAAGCGAGCGGCAGCTTTGAACACCTCATAACTTTTTGAAGGTTCCAATATAAAGTAACACCGCGTTTCCCACTAGCGGAATCTCACGAAACAGTTTGGTCATGATCCTTTAAGAGCTTTAAAGCACTAAAAATAGTGAAAGCCTACTGAGGCTTTGTCGGTTTTCAATATCGGTCTTAAAAATGTAAGAATATCGCAAAGTTTTTATTTCAAAAGACAGACCGGGATTGAATCACTAAAATGTCTCTGCGGGCGTCTAAATTTGCAATGTTGTACTTGGTACTTTCATTGATTTGCGGTGCATTTAAAGTGTGCCAGAAGGTTTGGCAAGATTTCATTTTTTTTTAAGCTATTGCTAATTAAACTTTTGACTCACCTTGACGAACTATATGTGTAATGTAAGTTTCACTTCTCAAGTATGGCCCAGGCGGACTTACTTTTTTGTATATAAGCCTCAAATGTTTCCCTAAACCCTAAGCGTTCTGATAACCGGGATTTTTATAAGGACTTTCCCGGATAAAGTGCCTATATTTTGGTATAAGAGTTATAGAGAACTAGATTGCGATTACCCGCTTCGCTGACTGTATGAAGTTTCTGCGGGTTGAAGAAAGCTAAGCAAACTATAATAGGAGTTTTTAACAAATATGTTTAGCCTTCTTCACACTTTTTCAAGCGAAAAGCTTCTTAAACCTCTTTGTAACAGATACAATTTCTCTTGCTTACTCCCCTAAATTCAAGCCCAATTTGAGCTTTTAAACAGTAAACCAACCTTCTATTTGTAGTTTAGAAATAAAGCCTTTTCAAAACCAATGGGCATCAATTTACATTTTATAATAATTCATTCAAATTAGTAAATAATTTTATAATAATATTCCAATACCTAATTTACTTAATTCAAATAAAATCAGATTTTTCAAACAGGCGGCAACTTTCCTACATATACCTTATAAATGAACCCTTTTCAAGTTCATTTCGATTGATACCCATATTGTAATAATTCATTTAAATCAACTGAACTTAATTTTTAAACAATAATATTCTAAAAGTGCGAACTTAAGTTTTTTAACCTCTTTTAAATTTGTCATAGATTGCAAATAATTAATTTAAATTCCACTTTTGAAACAGGTGGCAACACTTTTCAAAATATTTACAAACTAAAACGTTTCAAAGCCTCTTTAGTATGACTCTAATATTGTAATTAACATTTTGTGTTGAATTTTAATTTTTTAAACATGTGGCACAGAATGAAGAAGGCATGGCGTGAACAATGAAGATATCTGATGTGGCGGCTCTCGGAGTTTTTGAGAGAAAGCTTCTGCGAGCTTTACAGCGATTAAACTACAGCGGCTTGGCCATGTCAAGCGAATGGACAGAAATGCCCCAGCTCTGAAAGTATTCAACGCGGGTCGCGAAACTGGTAACAGATGAAAAGGAAGGCGTCCTCTGCATTGGAAAGACCAGGTTGAGAAGGACCTGGCTCCTCTTGGAATTTCAAATTGTCGTCAGTTGACGTGCTTTCTTGGACTGGATCAGAATCACTTGGGTGGTCCCAGCTCCAATAAAGAAGGGAAATTTTTTTTATTTATAAGTAATTTTATAAATAAATTCCCGCATAGTGTCCGCATAGTGTCTTGGTTCGTTAGCCTCAAACCAGCAGAAAATTAAAAAAAGGCACTGGTGTGAAATTGGCGAAATGATAAACAATATAATCAAGACGGCAATAAAAGAAACTGCAGTAATTTGTGAAATTTTTTGCTGCTTTAATTCAAATGGTCAAAAGCCTAGAAAAAATATGAAGTCATATGATGCTATAGAACCAACTGCTGCACCATGAAAACATTTATGTGCATATGCACAGATATAACCAATAATTTGTGTAAGAATGAATGTTTTTATGTGCTTGCATTTTTGGTTTGGGAATAAAATACCAAATATTTATTTGCAAAGACAAACCAAAAAATTATTTTGCCAATGTTGATACGTTTGCTTTGCGCACAAATATTGAGCGCGAAATTCCTTTGGCTTTTGGCCAAATTTAATCATCATCAACACTTTCACTAGACGACAACGAATGATGACAGAAACAACAAAAGTAATAAAATCATGCATATTTTTCACATTTTCAGTTATAATTTTAATACATACATACATACCTACTAATTATACCTATGTAGATACACATCTGAAGTTTTATTCTATAA